GCTGTGACCATCCATTCCCCAGAGCAGCCTGCAGACAGCTCCCTGCCCCACTGCCAGCCAGGACTGAACCCGCGCAGTGAAGAACAGAGTAGCGCACCTCAACTCAAGGTACTTTCACCTTATTTTTAGCCTCTTTGCCTTCTGGGAGGTATTTAACCTTCAGGTACATTAAATCTTAGACCCTGGACGCCTTCCCTTCTGACACCCCATATTAGTCACTGTAATGACTTGTGTGTAGAAGTGGCAAAGGGGGCAGGTATTGTAAAGGCTGATCTCCGTGCCCCACTGCGGTCAGGTTCCATCCCCGTCTCCGACTTTGGGGGTGTTCCTGCTTCCTTAGGATTTGACATTCTCTGCCGTTCCTTCCTGAACTTTCAGATGCACAGGACTCACCCCCGGATACACAGCCTTCCTTCTCATAAGTTCCTCCTGTCTCAATGTTTCTTAAGGCATCAGGTTCCTGCGGGAACCTAAGTCGATTTAAACCCCCATACCTGGGATCCCAAACTGGAAGGCAAAGCAACTAACCCAGAGCGTTTGTGGTCTCCTTTCAGATGCAGAGGTGGACTAGTCTCCTGTTTCTATCTTTGATCTTTTGTGCCACCCTCTCAGAGACCTTTGGACTCGTTTTATCAGTAAGTATAAATTTCATTTACAGGGGCTCTATCCATTAGACATGCTCAGTGTCTCAGCTGACAAGTACCAGTAAACTGACGGGCATCTGGTCAGATATAGGGCTGAGCAAAACAAAGCAAGTGCCCGAGAATATTTTGGATGGTGGATGAACAATTGGGAATATTGGACATTTTAATACTCATCTACTTATGACAAATGTGCTACAAAGTAGTTAAACAAAACAAGGGTTATTAGTTTTATATAGTAAAGTTCAATGAATGGCCATCTTACTTAGGAAAAAAAACAAGGAATTCTTTTGTTTTACATGAAGCTTACAAAATATAAACAGCTGAGACATGACAAATTGTGTAAATCCAAACCAGTATCTAGAGGGAAATATATATACTTTTCAGTAAAGCAGGTTGGGAGCAGATCACATTTATTATAACTTGTAAGGTTTAAAATTTATAATGCATTGTGCGATTTGCACTTTCGTCTATATAGGGTCAAAATCCTGGTCATGCTGAAGTCAATGGCAAAACTCCCATTGACTTCAGTGAGGCCAGGGTTTCACCCAGACTGAAATAATATTTTTTTGATGAATAAAAAATATCAGCTCATTAGAAACCCTAATGAATCTGTTTGCACAAACCAACCTCCCAGATTCATTTCTCTTTTTTTCAGAAAGTATTATGTAAATCATGCAATAAATAAACTACCTGCACTTTTCCCTCTGTAAGGCAAAAGAAAAAAGGGGCTGGACTTTGAATAGTGCTGGTTACCTACTTGGGCCACGTAAGTCAAATATTTAATTTTCTATATTTTAAAATTCTATTAAAAATGGTCACTTGATGCCTATTGTCTGCCATGAGTGTGCTACCCACTAATCTGGCTATTAAAGTAATTTTTGTTTAAACCTTCTTATGTAAAACTAAAGAGTGTTATTTCAGAGAACATTCAGTTAGTTACACATTTGAAGCCTGGGATAGAAACAAATAGAATTTAAACTTCCTCTTCAAAAGCAATGCCATGTAAAGGCACTACATTATATGGAATTACACATTTGGGTATTCTTAGAGTGCTAATGAGTTGTAATACTTAGGTGGCAAACATTTTATTACTCTAAAATAGTAGATTTACCTCCAATTATACAATAATAATGATGATTAATTGTATAGACTCTAAGGGCATTTGCCTTGCAAAGTAGTTATAACATTTTATGGAATTTTGGAGGTCAATCAAGGGGGAAATACTATGGGTGAAATTGGGCCCCATTGAAATCAGTGGCAGTTTTGCCGCTGAACTCAGTGGGGCTGAGATTTCACCTAAATCTACATTAAAAATGCCCAGATGCATAGTCTTCTGATACTATTCTTGGACAAAACAAACTCTCTGAGATTGTAAATAAATATCAGTAATTTACAAGAGGAAAATACTTCATTCCATTTTGTAATTAAAAACAAACACCAGTGTCTGAGAGGCTGAAAACGTAAAGTTCAGGTTTCCAAAAAAAGTATGGAGATGAAAAGTGAAGGTGTCCCAACTGGCTAAAAAGCCTTCCTTTAAAACTATTTGTATCTGATTTAATAATTGTCATTTATTTTTACCCAAGGTTTTCAAGATGCTGAGAGGCATAAAACATACAGACATCTATACCTACCCTTTACTACTTTTTATGTTAAATATTACTGGGGGTTGCCTAATTTCACCCTCTATAGTATATGATAAACATTACAGATAATTAATACTGCTGTCCATATAAGGATCATAACTGTCTTTTTTTTCCTTTATTATTCACTTTTTGTAACTGACCTTGGGATACAAATGTATGCACCTTTGATGTATTTATTGATTCTGTAAATGTTTGTAAATATATTTGCCTTAAAGCAGCAATGCCAGAATAGACTGTGTTGAAAGACATACATGCCATTCTGTAATGGGGGCATATATTTGCTGAGTGCCATTTCTCTAAGACTGGATAATAGGCATCATCCTCTGTTGCAGGTCGTATTGATCAGCTTTTACTGATAAAGGAAATGCCCATTGCAAAGGGGAGAGAAGAGGCACCAAGGGAATGTAAGATAGTTTTTGGAGGTTATTCATGTAAACTAATTGCAGTTTACTTTCAAACAAATTACTTGGCAACTTTTTTTTTTAAGAGGAAAGAGTAGCAAAACCACATTCCTAAATTACACATGAATTGTCCAACTCTGCATTCCCTGTACACCCAAAACTCCCACTGAATTCAGGAAGAGTTTGGGAGTGCAAGCAATATAGGAATGGGCCCTTAATGGATATAAATTAAATACACAAAATTTAAAAATGCCTTCTTTAATTCTTTAATACGCTTATTAAAGAATGATTCCTTTGATTCATTAATTATACATCATTCTATCAACAATCCCATCATGTTCTCGTGCACAAATGAAAAGAAGGCTATAAAGAGAGTCACTTTTAAATCTTTTTGAGCTAGCTCAATAAAATCCATCAAAATCAACCTGGAGACTGTAAATGAAATTAACTCTTCATCTCTAATTTATTTAACAGATGCAGTAGATAATCACAGATCTTTTATTGACACACATGGCCTAGCTGGTAAACGTGAGATACAGGCTGAAGAGGATATAAAAATAGGTAATGAAATTATGAAAGCCAAGAGTTTGTGCTTCTGTATATAGCATTTTATTTACTATGTTTGAGTTATTGTCCCCCTAAATGGAAGCTTAAGCTTGCTTGTAGGCAGGACCATGTACTTAACATACATGAGTAGTCCCATTGAAGTCAATGAGAGTATTCATATGAGAAAGGAAAGCAAAATTTGGCTCACAGACACCAGAATTTGGAGATCATGACCTGAATTATGTGTATTCTGCCTTGTAATAGTTTAAAATGCAGAGTCATACATTCACTGGCAGGACAAAAGCTTTTGAGTTTCCTTCATTTTATCCACATTAACATATTTGACTACAAAACCTACCTGTTCAAAACAAAGCTTTCAAGTTCTATCAGACACTTAGGAGTCCAACTGATTAGCCCAGGAGTGTGATCAGTAAGGGAAGATATTAGAGAGATCATACATTAGGGAAAGTTATAGAAACAAGAGACATCGTTTATCATACCAACACAGAACTGAAAGCTGTTGTTAATGCTGTATGGAGCTGTTTTTTGATAAATGGATTTCTCATAATAACCCCATCTCAAGTATAATTTTTCCATAATTAAACAAGATAAATTGTTTCAATTAGAAGACTTAGGGCCTGATCCAAAGCTTAATGAAGTCAGTAGGAGTCTTTCCATGTAATGCAATGGGTTTTGGAACAGTCCCTTAATCCTGAGAGGTGCTGAGCATTCACAACTCTGAGCTCAATGGGAGTTGTGAGTGCTCTGTACTTCTCAGGATCAGAACCTTACAGTATATAAGGGGCTGCTAACAGGGAGTTTCGCAAGGGAGTTCTCCAGGTGAAGGAGGAGCAAATACAGGACCTTTGGGGTAAGTGACTGTCTGTAGTGTGTGTTTGTGTTTGGGGGTTACTTGCTGTGTGCTGAGCTTGTGTTTGTCAGTCTGTTTGTTTGGTTGTTTGTTTGAAGGACCGTGTGCTGTGGCTGGCAGTTGGAAGCTGTGAGCTTCAAAGGAAGGTCCGAAGGCTAGAAGCCTCTGGTAATTGGCTGAGCCTTAATCAGTGGGTGGGGCATTCACCCAGGCCAGGGCTTTATAAAGCAGCACACAAGCGACCAGGGAGCTTTTGTGACCAGGGGCTGCTAACTGGGAGTTTCACAAGGGAGTTTGGAAGGGAGCGCGGGTCCCTTGCCGGTTCTATCTTATACCCTTTATTCCTCTTAAACCCTATAGCCCAAACTACATTCAAAACTTCTTGCTTTAAACAACCCCTTCAGTAACTAGGAGAAAATGCAGGCAGAAGCCCAGCTGCAGAGTGGGGGCTATCCAGTTTATTGCACTGAGTGTAGCATGTATGATTACCTGCCCCGTGGGCGGGTGGCGTATGTGTGCATTCGGTGCAAGGAGCTCCTGGCCCTCAGAGACCACGTACGGACTCTGGAGGCAAGGGTGGCGGAACAGGAGGAGCTAAGGGAGGCAGAGAGGTATGTTGATGAGGCTTTCCGGGACACTGTAGAATTGTCCCACCTCCAGTCAGACAGCCCCTGTGCTGTTGAGGAGGATGAAAGGCCCAGGGAAGCAGAGCAGTCAACGGGAGCAGAGGGAAACCTTCCCATAGTTGGGACCCTCCTTCCAGATGGTGCTGGGGTTGCCTCTCGCACTGAGGTTACCTATCCAGGGGAGGGAACTCCAGTTGCTAGGAAAAGGCAGGTATTAGTATTGGGAGATTCAATCATTAGAAACGTAGATAGCTGGGTTTGTGATGACCGGGAGAACCGTATGGTGACTTGCCTGCCTGGTGCAAAGGTTGCGGATGTCTCGAGGCATCTAGACAGACTTATGTGTAGTGCTGGGGAGGAACCGGTGGTCATGGTACATGTAGGTACCAATGACCTAGGGAAGGGTAGGAGAGATGTCCTGGAGGCCAAATTTAGGCTGCTAGGGAAGAGACTGAAATCCAGGACCTCTATGGTGGCATTCTCAGAAATGCTCCCAGTTCCACGCGCAGGGCCAGGTAGGCAGGCAAAGCTTCAGAGTCTCAATGTGTGGATGAGATGATGGTGTAGAGAGGAGGGGTTTACATTCATTAGGAACTGGGGAAACTTCTGGAATGTGGGGAGCCTATACCGGAAGGATGGGCTCCACCTAAACCAAAGTGGAACCAGACTGCTGGCACTAAACATTAAAAAGGTTGTAGAGCAGTTTTTAAACTAGGAGATGGGGGAAAGCCGACTGCTGCAGAGGAGCGTGTGGACCGGACAGAGACTTCTCTTAGGGGAGAGTCTAATGATAGAGAATCTCCAGGTTATAGTCAGGAGCAGAGGATGGAAGAGGATAAAGTAGGGGCCAGATCAGATGATAAACATTCACATAAAAAAGAATCTGATACATCAGAAAAGGGCAGACAAATAAACAGTGACAAGTTTTTAAAGTGCTTGTACTCAAATGCTAGAAGTCTAAATAATAAGATGGGTGAACTAGAGTGCCTTGTGATAAAGGAGGATATGGATATAATAGGCATCACAGAAACCTGGTGGACTGAGAGCAATCAATGGAACACAATCATTCCGGGGTACAAAATATATCGGAAGGACAGAACAGGTCGTGCGGGTGGAGGGAGGAGAGAGAGTGGCACTATATGTGAAAGAAAATGTACAATCAAATGAAGTAAAAATCTTAAGCAAATCCGCATGTTCCATAGAATCTCTATGGATAGAAATTTCATGCTCTAATAAGAATATAACATTAGGGATCTATTATCAACCACCTGACCAGGACAGTGATAGTGATGATGAAATGCTAAGGGAAATTAGAGAGGCTATCAAAATTAAGAACTCAATAATAGCGGGGGATTTCAATTATCCCCATATTGACTGGGAACCAGGGCCGGCTTTAGGCCGATTCAGCCGATTCGGCTGAATTGGGCCCCGCGCCAAGAGGGCCCCGCGCTGCAGCTGTTCACCCCGCCCCCAGCTCACTTCCCCCTCCTCCCCTGCCCTGCACGCCCCGCCCCCTCCCCTGCTTCCCGCGAATCAGAGATTCGCGGGAAGTCTGAGACTAAGCAGCAGGGGTGGGCTGGCCGGCAGCACGAGGTAAGCTGGG